TGACTTCTTAGATCACTGATGAAGACAGATGTTGTCTCTTACCTTCCCCTCTGGCAGCCCAGCGCATTTCCCCTCCCTGTGGCTCAATGATGAGGTTTGCTGTGGATCCTCTAGGAAAAAAGTGCTGCATAGCCTCCAGGTCTCCTGTATACAAAGCATTGTGGATGACCACATCGTGGCAGACAGCTGGTGGCAGGGACTTCAGCAGTGCTCTGTTGTTGGCCTCCTTCTTCAGCATATAGCTACTCAGATTATGAGAGGCAAGTTGCCTGCTGTACTTGTATCTCTCTAGTGTGTCCTTGTCAAGTTCAAGAGAACGCAAGGCCATGGACGTGAAGACAAAGCTGCCTCTCGACATGCTTGTTGTGCGATATGTGTATGATTATGTCTAACAAGTCCCTTCTCTCTGTTTCTGTTGTTATTTCACTCTCTCTGGCTGATGTCCACTTTGTACCCGCCGGCTGTTCACAGGGTTGATTCACCGAGTTGTTTTGATATTCGGCATGAGTCCCTCCCTGCAGCGTGACAAGTAAATGCTATTTTTATGTCTCACACGCAGCCACTCAAACCTCTCCTGTTTGCCTCCAGCAAAGTTATAAAGTCTCTCTGTTAGGCTGCTAGTATCAAACCCAGTGCATGCTGTTTTAAAAGTAATACAATGTTTACTAAAATTACATGTAATTTAGCAAAACTTTACCAAAAGGAGGCTTAAAAACTACTGATTTTCAGTGTGGTTCTTTCAACTTTTCCTACTTTAAATCTATTGAGCATAATAAGTCTGAAAAGTCAGTGGATGTGAACCTTTTTGTCCACTGTTCACCTTCACTGTTCTAACAAAAAAAAAAAAACATGTTAAAAAATAAAAAATCTCCAGACCTATAAGGTCAGATTTTGCCATGACATTTTTCTTAGAGGAAGAGCAAATAAGAATGCCCTATTTGAAAGCCCCTGAGTAGCTAGCAGAATGCCTTTTTCAGCTCAGTATTTTTTTTCCAAGAGCTTTAATGGATTTTATGTATCCACATGGCTCCCTGCATTAGAACATTAGGCTGAATGACTGGCAACCGCTGTGTCACTCTGCCCCACGTGTAGTGTTCTGATGGCGGAGGGACGGCACATAATTAAGCCTCTTAAGCCTACTCGCTAGGCATCTGACAAACATCTCTTTTGACTGATGAACAACCATTTTCCAGTAGTAGAAATTCTACCCAGCAGAAAAAAACTAAACAAAACAAAAAACCCAAAACAAAACACATCTCACAGCTCTGTAGACACCAAGGATGGAAGGGTGACCTTCAATTTGACACCATCACCATCTAATTTTAGCAGTATTTGATACATTGCGTATCAAAAACACACTTTTTAAGGTGTATTTATCCGCCTTCATGTTGGAGTCTATTAAGATGCCTGCAAGCTCTGCGGAAAACAAAGTTTGCGCCACAGGTGGAGAAATACACGATATTGGCGAAGAGGTTTTACCTTCTTTTCTACTCGAAAACACAGAGGCAGAGCTGCATCTCATCTATACCTTAACGACTGTTCTGGTATGGAAATCAAGGTCATTTATTTTATGTTACAGTTGGTAATAGATGCCACATTAAACTGAAGGCGAGTAAGAGTTTCAACTTTGAAAACACACATTACCAGAGAGAGACTAGGAATATTGTTTTTGCGGCTGGAGTACATCCTTTTAAATGATATACATAATGAGTTTATAATATGCATCTGGGCTACCTCCTCTCTACTTTGATGTCTTCCAAATGGCCCGGGTGTCATCAGCAAAACATGTAGGCACTTTCCCGCCTCATTGACTCCCAAATGTATTTTAAATATCATTCCTGGTAACGCAATTATTTAAAACGCTGAACTAAACACTTACTAATGGGGAAAAAGACAGCCACTTCGATAAATTCATTTCTCAAATGGTGGGCATTCGTGTTTCCTTTTTCCCCCCCTTTTCTCTCTCTCTGTGAAGCGGAGGCAACTCTGATGATAACAAAAAAACATCAGCAGCAGTAACACCCCCTGCCCTCACAGCCCCCTGTGGACATATTAAATCTATGGTTTCCTCACATTACCCACCAGTAGCTGCCTCTCCAAGGCTTTCTGCATTGTGGTCAACCACCTTCCTATCCCAAGGCAGTCAGTAAGAGGCTGGACATCAGCAACGGCCCTGATGAGCGCGAGGCACTTCATTTATGCAATCATAGGCAATTAGTTCCCTCTGATTATGAGGCTCTTAATGCTATTTTGAGTACTGTGTGCCACAGTACTACAGAAAGAAATTAAACTATAGCCCTCCCTCCACACTGAGCAGTCATTTAATATACTGGGAACATAATGAAATGTACACAGTAATTACAGTAATATTAAATGCTAATGTGTTTGCAATTGGCTCTGCTGTTAGCTTAAGAGAGTCAGAAAGACCGTCCAAGTTTAGACATGGATCAATTATCCATCAGGTGTTTCTTATCTTAGTGGTTTATGTGTTATTTCATGTTATTCCTATCAGAAAAAGCGAGATCAGTGCCTGAGCAACTCTGTGCTGGTTAATACGCTAGATACACATTTCAGCACATGCCTGCCATGAAGTTTGCATTCAGGTCGTGGAACAACTGATAAGAGATGATAGGCAAGTTTAATTGGCTATTGACATTATCTAAAGACAAGCTAGCTGTTGCACTTACTGTATGTATTTTCCGATTTTAATCCGGGCTCACTTGTTCTAATTTTCCTTGTATCATACTATAGTTCATCCAGTTGTATTAAGCTAGGCACACACAATCTGCTTTGCATATTTCATACCATTAAACATCTTGGATAACTAATCAGCAATGCTTTGCTTCTATACATGTGACACATAAAAGTCTACAACTGGGCTTAGGTGAGGTTTCCTGTTTGCAAATTTTCCTCAAATCTCATCACAATGCTTGAGATGTTGGTGAAGAACCTAAATGAATTTATAGAGCCTTGAATTGAACAGTAGCCCCAGACCATTCAGTGGAAGCATGATTACTTTTTCTGTATTCTTTCAGCCCTTAGCCCACTACCTATAATGTATTGTATGGGTCTTTGCAGATTCCAATTGTCTCTCAATGCACTGATCACCACGCAAATAGCCCTCTGTTTCATCATGACAATTGAGAGGTTCATATTTCAACCTAATAGTCCTGTATAACTTTAACCATCTATCACAACCTCATTTCATTGCGGTTGCAGTTAATACGCGCTTCCCTGCCAAGTGGAACATTTTCTAATGATGCACTCTCACATGAAAACAAGGCAAGTCATCCCAGGCTCTGCATCACTCACTAATGCACCCATCCATAATGTGTTCATAGCAGTCTGCCTAAAGGAGACAGCGATGACTACTACTAGGCATGGGCATAAGAGGGGATATGGGGAAGAGTGCAAGACACAAAACCTAAATGGCCACGATTATTATGAACAAAGTCACTGCCATTAAAGGCCGTATCACCCTCATAATAACGTCTCTAGATTTCATATCATTACCAAGAATACTAGGAAATATCTGAGATGGTATCTCAACAATAACAGTCAGTGGCAACCTGCATTATCACAGTAAGTCTGGCTTTGTGGGACGTTGATAAGTGCAGTCTAATAGGTGTATGTAAAGCCCGATGTAAACACCATCCTAATTAGAGAGACCTTTATCAGTTCCTCCGCTTTATGCAGATTGAACTGGTGCAAACGCTAGTGTCATTATCCTGTAATCAAGTAGCATTCAGCTGATGGTGCCGTCTCTTAAAAACCTGATTATAATGCATAACAAGGACACAGTGTTGCTTTATCTCCTCTGTTAGTTTATAAATATTTCAATTTTAAGGATGACCTAGCCAGATAAAGATCTTGCAGAGGTTTGCATGAACTTCATCATAAGTGAAAAGATTGCTGTATTTTAAAATATAAGTAAACAGAGGGCTAGTGTGTATTTAGTCAAAAACAACACAAAACAAATGTTGACAACATACCAAACTTCGAAACTTATAAACACCACTAAGTTTTCCTTCAATTAAGTAATTGCTTTTATTTTATAAAATTAACATCTCATTTTTTCCATTATCATGATGGACAAAATTTCAGAAATAACTTTTAAAAATTATTTCTTTTACTTTTTTTTCTTCTATTTTCTCGTAGCTGGACAGACAATCCGGAAATGAGTTCAAATGATTAGTGACCAAAACCAAAGACACTTTTTTTGTTTCAGTACATGGCATAAGTCAGCATACACTCACACATGTTAAATAAACCTCCCTTCATTCTTTCATCGTCGTCAGGGTTAACAGGATGACTTGCTAGCTAGCTAAGCTATAGTTTAGCTAATTTTCTAACGTCACTTTTCATTGTTACAACCACTCAGGTGCTTCTGATAATATCAAAACTGTTATGACGATGATGATGACGATGTCTGAAGTGAAAAAGAGACTATTATTTGTGGTCGTACAGACTATGAGGTCTCGAATCATAGTAGAAAGTATACGTTAAAAAAATCAAGGCGATATTACCTGGCAGTGATCAGGTTCAAGTTGACATGGTGAAACTGGAGACACCTGTTTAAGTGCCCACCTGTGCCTGCTGCTGTTGTAATCTGCATCTGTAATCAGAAAGAAAGTGTGATGTCATGTTTTAATCAGAACCATGTTTTCAATAGGTTTGTTATGGACGGCATCCAGCAGACATATAGATCCATACATTAGACTGTACCGGTGAAATATGGCAGACCTCTACCACACCATGTTCGCTCATTGTGGTAAGAGAAAATTCGCTAATGGAGCTTAATTTGGACATTCTTGATATATAGAAATATTCAAGCTCCCCGACAAAACATGATAGCATTCAGTGCACTAATGGGTTGCTAAGGTAGAATTTCTAAAGGGTTATTGCTGTTGTATTGACTTTATTGGCTTTTATAAAAGTTATCAAGCCGGTGAAAGGAATGTTAATGTTTAAATGCGGAGTGCTACTGGCTTCCAAATGAGTAATTTCTAGTTTGCCATCACACTGCGGTATACAACTTATGCAAGGATGAAATGCACAAGTCCCCTTTGAAGGTGCATCTGAACGAGATAGATCCAATTACCCCATCTAGTGGCGACACCAGCCACGATGGCTTTACTTTATTGGGGGGGGAAGAAAATAGAAGATCATGGCTTTGTGAAATATTTTAATGACCAGCTTACAAATCTGCCAACTCTCAAGTTTAAATTCCTCAACATAACGCACTGGAAGTTTTCACTTGGAGCTGGTGTACTTGGTGACGGCCTTGGTTCCCTCAGACACGGCGTGTTTAGCCAGCTCCCCGGGCAGCAGCAGCCTCACCGCAGTTTGCACCTCTCTGCTGGTGATGGTGGAGCGCTTGTTGTACTGAGCCAGGCGGGACGCTTCTGTGGCAATCCTCTCGAACAGGTCATTGACGAAGGAGTTCATGATGCTCATGGCTCTGCTCGAAATCCCCGTGTCCGGATGAACCTGAGGGCAGGAAGAAGGGTTGCCATGCAACTTAATTAGAGGACAAAGAAAACCGAGGCAGCCGTAAGGTTCGTTGCGCCTTTCTTCTTCTTCACCCACCTGTTTCAAAACTTTATAGATGTACATCGCGTAAGTCTCTCTTCTTTTGGCTTTTCTTTTGGCTTTTTTCTCAGTTGAACTCTTCCCCTTCTTTTTGGATACGTCGTTAGTCATGTTAACTAGTCAAAACTGCTATATCCACTTATTCAGGAGCGGTTATCCCAAAGCTTGGCTGACGGGCAGCTGCTTATGTAGCGTGCCTTAATTAGTCATTAATTTACTTCACCTGGTTTGCTTCTCTAGGCTAGACTGATAGACATCAAAGTATAGCCAAATACTGACCATGAGAACGGTTATTTATCACAATAGTATTATTCCTTTTTTTCCTTCGTATTCTGTGTTTTAGTGGCTTTATTTATTTAGTTTTACATTTTTTATTGCAAGTGGAAGTAGATTTCTATATTTAGGATGTTGCGCCTAACAATGGTGTCCACTGGGTGGCGGACTTGCATTAGTTTTAAAGACTCGACATGCGCTTGAAAGCGGATTTCTATACTTGCTTTTGATTTAATTGCAATCCACTTTAATCTTCCTTCTGCCTCGTGGGTCATTAAATGTACCAAACATGTGGATGCTATTAAGCATCATAACATTTATCAACAACACCTCTGAGTTCCATTTGCAGTCATATCCAGTGTTTAGGTGACAATCAGCCAGACATGTAAGGTTATACGGTTTTCCGATAGATTAATGCGCACTGTGTTTATTAAAAATGCATGCCATTATGCGCAAGGTTGAATTAAAGCTTTAACCCCAGCCCCAAAGCCCAGAGTTCATTTTGTTCACAGTAGTATTTTTTAGTGTGACAAAATTAACTCTGCACTTTTAATGGGGCACAGTGGTGCAGAGGATTGGACTGCTGCAAGAAGGCTCGGTAACCCCAGGTGGCCAGCTGGCAGTCTTTTTGCCATCTCCTTGTACCTGTGAAGGTTTCCCCTAACCGCACCACTCTCCTCCCACAGTCCAAAATATGCAAGTTAGGTTTACTGGTGCGGCACGGTGGTTAGCACTGTTGCCGCACAGCAAGAAGGTCCTGAGTTCAATTCCACCATCAGGCCAGGGTCTTTCTGTGTGGAGTTTGCATGTTCTCCCCGTGTTTGCGTGGGTTCTCTCCGGGTACTCCGGCTTCCTCCCACCGTCCAAAGACATGCAGCTTGTGGGGATAGGTTAATTGGATAATCCAAATTGTCACTAGGTGTGAGTGAATGTGAGTGCGAATGGTTGTCTGTCCCTGTGTGTTAGCCCTGCGACAGACTGGCGACCTGTCCAGGGTGTACCCTGCCTCTCGCCCTATGACAGCTGGGATAGGCTCCAGCGCCCCTCACAACCCTGAAAAGGGTAAGCAGAAGCAAATGGATGGATGGAGGTTTACTGGTGACTCTTAGTTGCCCAGTCTCTTTGTGGCTGTACTCCACCAGTGCTTTAAAGATAATAGAGCAGAGTGAATGGATAGATTGAAAAAAAAAAAAATTCAGTGTGATGCTAATGATTGTTTCCTGCCACATCCATCCACCCATCCATCCTTTTGACCTCTCCGGACATGTCCCCTTTCACATGTCAGAATTTATGCTTCAGCTGAACTTTTACAAATGCAAAACTTACATTATTTATGATGATTTTCATGATTACTGCTCTCATTAGCAAACAGAAATCACGTGTTTAAATATAGACTGCTGTACTAACTGTTGAAATTTCCTTTTTCTTTGTGTTTATTTTGAAAAACTTGAAATGGAAAACTTTTCATTTGAGGAGTAATACGACTATTACTGCCAGAAGTAAGGACAAATTAATGGTAGCAGGTAATAGAAGTGAGCCCATAGGTTTTTCACTCTTCTCTTTTAATGTTAAATACTGAATACAGGGAGTGCAGAATTATTAGGCAAATGAGTATTTTGTCCACATCATCCTCTTCATGCATGTTGTCTTACTCCAAGCTGTATAGGATTGAAAGCCTACTACCAATTAAGCATATTAGGTGATGTGCATCTCTGTAATGAGAAGGGGTGTGGTCTAATGACATCAACACCCTATATCAGGTGTGCATAATTATTAGGCAACGTCCTTTCCTTTGGCAAAATGGGTCAAAAGAAGGACTTGACAGGCTCAGAAAAGTCAAAAATAGTGAGATATCTTGCAGAGGGATGCAGCAGTCTCAAAATTGCAAAGCTCTGAAGCGTGATCATCGAACAATCAAGCGTTTCAGTCAACAGGGTCGCAAGAAGCGTGTGGAAAAACCAAGGCGCAAAATAACTGCCCATGAACTGAGAGAAGTCAAGCGTGCAGCTGCCAAGATGCCACTTGCCACCAGTTTGGCCATATTTCAGAGCTGCAACATCACTGGAGTGCCCAAAAGCACAAGGTGTGCAATACTCAGAGACATGGCCAAGGTAAGAAAGGCTGAAAGACGACCACCACTGAACAAGACACACAAGCTGAAACGTCAAGACTGGGCCAAGAAATATCTCAAGACTGGTTTTTCTAAGGTTTTATGGACTGATGAAATGAGAGCGAGTCTTGATGGGCCAGATAGATGGGCCCGTGGCTGGATTGGTAAAGGGCAGAGAGCTCCAGTCCGACTCAGACGCCAGCAAGGTGGAGGTGGAGTACTGGTTTGGGCTGGTATCATCAAAGATGAGCTTGTGGGGCCTTTTCGGGTTGAGGATGGAGTCAAGCTCAACTCCCAGTCCTACTGCCAGTTTCTGGAAGACACCTTCTTCAAGCAGTGGTACAGGAAGAAGTCTGCATCCTTTAAGAAAAACATGATTTTCATGCAGGACAATGCTCCATCACACGCGTCCAAGTACTCCACAGCATGGCTGGCAAGAAAGGGTATAAAAGAAGAAAAACTAATGACATGGCCACCTTGTTCACCTGATCTGAACCCCATTGAGAACCTGTGGTCCATCATCAAATGTGAGATTTACAAGGAGGGAAAACAGTACACCTCTCTGAACAGTGTCTGGAAGGCTGTGGTTGCTGCTGCACGCAATGTTGATGGTGAACAGATCAAAACACTGACAGAATCCATGGATGGCAGGCTTTTGAGTGTCCTTGCAAAGAAAGGTGGCTATATTGGTCGCTGATTTGTTTTTGTTTTGTTTTTGAATGTCAGAAATGTATATTTGTGAATGTGGAGATGTTATATTGGTTTCACTGGTAAAAATAAATAATTGAAATGGGTATATAATTGTATTTTGTTAAGTTGCCTAATAATTATGCACAGTAATAGTCACCTGCACACATAGATGTCCCCCTAAAATAGCTAAAACTAAAAACAAACTAAAAACTACTTCCAAAAACATTCAGCTTTGATATTAATGAGTTTTTTGGGTTCACTGAGAACATGGTTGTTGTTCAATAATAGCATTATTCCTCAAAAATACAACTTGCCTAATAATTCTGCACTCCCTGTATATTTCAGTCTGGGCTGGTGTAAATGTGTGATTGTGGCTGTTTGCTTAGTAGTGCCGTGTTTACATCTCTAAGCTTGTGTTTGATCCTGGGCTCTTTCCATCCCCGATACATGTAAGCTTTTCATGCTGATGATTAAGATTAAATGTTTATGCTCCAGGCCTGTATTTATTCCAGGTATTGTTGTTGTTGTTTTATCTGGAATGAAAAGTTTACCGTCCAAATTGGCCTTCAGCATGTGATCTATTCATTAAATAGGATATTCAAGGACGAGTTAGAGCCAACGTGATTATAAAAACATATCAGCATTTGACTTTGTCTTTAAAGCAGTGCGGTTACTTTTTTTATTCTTTGAAATTCTCAGCATTGTTGCATCTTTATGATTTTAGTTGGAAAATATTTTCTCCATATAGCAATAAGATATTTCCTAGCACTGGCACGCTAGTGAACGTGTTAGACAAAATTGCAGTCGAAAGCTTTATCAATCTTGTCTGATCCGTTTGTGCATACTGGAGGTCTTAGCTTCTGTATCAACAGCAGTTTATCTGTTTGATCGATGAGCTCCAAGGTACAGGAAGTAAACTGAATACAAATGATTCACATACAAATCTCTCTAAACGGCGTAGCACCGTGTTATGCTCATTCATTTCCATCATAACAAAGCTTTCTACAGCCTTAAACATGTTTGAAGTGAAATTTGAAATACATACAATTTATTTCCTTATAGGTGTCTACAAAATGTAGGTAAATTTGCTTTTCTGAAATAGGCACTTTAGGTTGCTTAAGGCAACTGAATTCTCTAATGCTTGAAAACTCTGGACTACTTTTTAAAAAACTTGAATCTGCAGTTCTGTCAAGTGGTATCTGCTCATCAAAAAGCATACATAATTTATATATAGCGTTCAGCTAAAACATTAAAGTCACCGATAGATGATGTAACATTGCATTGCATTGTCTGCTAGAAAACAATGAGCATTTGTGTGGATGCGACTGACTACCCACCTAAATATTGCTGCAGACCAAGCATGCCTCTATGGCAAAAGCGCTCCCAGGTAGCAGCAGCCTCCCCCTGCACGATACTGGGTTTGCACCTCACAGCAAAAGCTGCAAAGCATCCAGCTCCAAAAGATCCAACTTGATTGAGCTTCCATACGATGCTCTAATGACGATGATGATGATGATGATAATGATGACAGGTTTCACAGAGGGCCCACTTCACAGCCACACTACAGGAGACGCCCAGAGGTCTAGTGTCCTGTGCCCAAGCTGTTCTGGTGGAAATTAGACAGTATTATGCAATATGGAAAAAAAGTGTATTGCAGGAAAAAAAAAATCCATACTATTTAACTTCACCCCCAACTGGGTGTGGCAGGTAGCTGCCCCTCCCTGTATCTGGTCCTACCAGAAGTTTCTTCCTGTTAAAAGGAAGTTTTTTCTTTCCACTGTCGCCAAATGCTTGCTGATAGGGGGTCATCCGATTGTTGAGGTTTTCTCTGTATTATTTTAGATCTTTACCTAACTATATAAAACAACTTGAGGCAACTGTTGTGATTTGATCGTGCTACAAATAAAACTGAAGTGAACTGAATTAAAATTGAATTGAACTGAGCTTAAGGATTTACTCTTTATCACTGAACAGATGTCGTAGATTTAAAATTGTCTGTCTTTCTTTTTCTGTTTGAAATTTGCACATTTGTGTTAATCAGTGAATTCTCAGTGTTAACACAAAGTGTTTGAACAGAGCCAAATTTCTTCATAGTGCT